TAGGAATAAAGGCAACCTCATTTCTGGCCAATTGGCAAGGAAGGTGACACTCCTAAAATTCTTAGGGCCTGGGGATCTTTTTGGTTGGTCAACTACAACCATCGCGGAAATTGTCAAATGTCACTCCCATACGCAAACCGTAAAAAAATGTGAAGAACGGCAAGGATGTACACTTGTCAGGGTAACACTAAGTAACCTTGAAAAGTCATCATCAAAGAAGTACGTCGGAATGACCAGGAAAAACTTACGCTTGATAGTTGGTTTTAACTGGTCATTGTCCACTACGCAAATACCTCCAAACACAGGGGATAGTAGACACACCTCTATGGTGGCAGGAAGTGTCAATTAGAAGACGAAACTATAGAGCATATCATGTGGATGCACGGAGATATCGTTAATACGAGAGTACGCATTCGGCAAGTCCAGGCACACACGTGCCCACGTAAAGGGGATGTCCCCTAGTGACTTGTCCATCTTCCTAGAAATGACAGCATGGACAATGAGCTAAGAATGACATCTCCTTGAAAGGATGCACAATGGGTCAATTGTGGCCTAAATGCTGTGGAACTTAACTCGCCCTCCCTACTCTGCAGATACAGATACCAAATTGTTGATATTTTTTTTATAATAACACTACACATTTAAGTTTTTGAAATTTAAAAATCTTAATTTTTTCTTTAAAAATATAATATATATATATATATATATATATATATATATATATATATATATATATATATAATATATATATATATATATATATATATATATATATATATATATATATATATATATATATATATAATTATATATATATATATATATATATATATATATATATATATATATAATATAGAATTTATTCATCATACCTATACATTTTTATTATTATCTTGTATATATGCTTAATTATTTCATTTTGATTATCATTATATTCTAAAGAGAATCATGAATAATGGAAGGGTATATTAATTAATTTTCTTTAAAACCTTTCCAAATTTTATTTAATTTCATCGCAGCATCGAAGTCTACAGTGAGTTTTAAACCCAAATGTTGAAACAATATTCGTTGGACTCACATATCGCATAGTTCATACAGTATTATTCGGTGGTATTACTAAGCCTAAATAAGTACCCTGGGTAAAACTTTTTTTTGTGTTCTGTGAGTAAAACCAAGAGGCGACTGAAGAGTAACCCTGGCCATGTTATCTTCCTGTTATAACTTACGCCCAAGAAATTCGTGACGGTCTAATACTATGGACCTGAGTTCGCATTAACTTAAACACAACAAATAGATGAGGAAGTTCTAATCCCAGTCACGGCACGTTCCAATGACTAATAGGGAACGTTATATGGATGTAACTGACCTAAGACATAAATATCATATATGAATAAGGTATAACCAAATAAACACCCGCGGATTAACTGAAAACATGACATAGCTATACACAGAGGGGACGTGTAATCGTATGGAATTAACTGAAGCCTCAACCGGCACCAGAAAGGTTACCAGATCATATTTTTTTTCTTCAGTAGATTGAGAATAATGGATATATATCATTAAATATATTTTTTCAAAATTTATAATTGAACACTGATATAATGATCACTTTTTGGACATGATTTTATCATTACATATTTTTTAGTAGATCGATACAGTGTTTCAGTAAATCAGAAAATTAAAGTTGAAATCAGTAGATCTACTGAAAAATCAGTAAACCTGGTAACCCTGTGAAAGGTAGTAATGGGCAACGTACAGGCACCAAAACATGGTGGTCACATCGAAACTGGCTTCACTTTGCGAAGGTTTATTAAATGAGCATTACCTGTCCTCTCTTTTTCCTTGTCTCATCTTATACATACACATAAAATCTACTTACATCTGTGCACAACTGCACCATGTTCAATAGGTAAATATCCAGGCAGCCACACCACAACTGACTTATAATATGGTGAGATTTATGCTAAGACTATTGCACTCCCTAATACCACAGAATAATAAACAATCAGAATGCCCACTCTGCTTGTTAAGATAAGTATGCGCATCTCGTTCGCACAGACGGAATCAGCCATGTTTTAAACGGAACTAGTGCTGTTCAGTGAAACTTTATCTGTTGTGTATGGAAAAATTAACATGGTTTAATTTATTTACTGCAATCATATACATAATAATATGCACTATTTTATTCGTACTTTTAGTTGAATGATAGATTAAATTATTTCAAATTTACTGAATTATTAATCTCTAAAAATTTAAATTACAGTTCTGTCGTAGCTTGTCAAAATTTTCTCAATTCGAGCCTATGTTTCCGTTTAAAATATGGCGATCGCGAGCTGACACACTTCAAAGGCGGCATTTTAGACTGGGGATTCTGATTGTTATTTATTATGTGCTAATACCAAGTAATAGAACACCATCGTTCCTAGGTGATGCATCGATGCATGACACGGGAAGAAAAGTGTTGCCTAAGGCCGGCTTCATACATGGGATCCAACGTTGGAGCCAACGTTGGATCAACTGTGTTCTAACGTTCAGTGAAGCATCCACACATTGGGTTGAGTATTCGTGCGATATCAGTCTGTTCCCGTTCCCTCTAGAGCCATTATGTCAACATGTCCGACATGGAAAATGCAGCGGCTGCGACTGTCGTGATAATGAGTGCTGTTGATTATATTTTGCTACAAAAAAGGCGAATTTTACGTCATTTTGTCTACAGCGTAACTTAAAGCTAATAGATCTTTAGAAATGCCGTATTTGGCAACTGAAGGCTTAATATATGAGTCTAAACCTGACGTCGAGGCTTTAAATCCCATTTATTCTTTTATTCAATTCCCAAATTTCTTAGCCTCCTTTTTTTTCTATATTCTGCATCAAACATGACTTTAATCCATAGCTGATACATATTTTAAAAGTTACATTACCACACGACGGTGCTCTATTAGGATAAAATGATCTATATTTCAAAATTAAAAGCATATACGATATTTGATAAGTACATAAGATACCATAAGATATTTGATAAGTACTTTTTTTGGTGCCTGGCTGAAAAAAACATGTGTATATTATTTATTTATGTAAGAAACAGCCTTTTGAGCATAAATCCTGTTCTGATAGATCACCGTCGTGTGTCGGAGTGTTACTCCTAAACAACTCAACGAAGGTAGCTCAGGTGGCCTAAGATCGATTTTTATATGTTGTAAATTTGTTTTTCCAAAAACTCTAACGCAGCAGTTTAAAATTCTAGATGAATCTGCGGCTTAGACAAGGATATGCTGGGATCTGATCGGCCTATGGTGGAGCAGTACGGCAAGAGATAAGGTCTTGCGGCTCGGTGATACTCCTCCATAGATCCCTACCGGACGGGCGTAACGCCTAAAAAACCGTATATATATAAATTTGTTTTTCAACGCCGTCAGGGAATGGAAATTTTCTTCGATAAAGTAATTTTTATTTTCTAAAAAGAATGCTCTGTAAAATGGCAACACAAGTGTTTTAAAAGAAAAAAGATGAGGCCTTTTTATAAACTGTGGCTTGTCATTGGTTTATTCTCTTTTGTTTTGCTAGATTGTGCAAAATTGGGTAACTAATTTTATGCGGGATGCGAAAATTACACACCAACAACTAAATTATATGCAAATAGCATAATTATTCGACGATTGGAATACTGCTGTAGCGCCAATTTGTGATCAGATTCACCAGTATTGGCGCCCATCCGTTTATCCCTTTGATGTGAACGCAAAAATCGACAGTCCACGGAAAACTCCCATCGTTGGAGCAAGTCATAAAAACGTTGGCGCCAACATTGGCCCCAACACAGTTTTGTCGGTACACACATTGAACGAGCGTTGTTGGGGTTATCGTTGGCCCCCATGTGTGGAGCCGGCGTTAGCCATGCCACTCTGCGCGATTAAAGCCTTAACACCTTAGTCAAGGACGGTATGGACACACTCTCGTGTAACAGCGTGTTGTCCCAACTCTTAAAAATAAAATGGATACGAAATAAAATGACATAGCCCAGAAAAGGACTCACAATTGAATGACTTTTCTAAATCCATGAAAAAAAGTGTTAGATGGAACGAATAGGGAGGCGACCACGCTCACGTACTCTGTATCTGTCCCACATCAATCTCAATGATCCCAATCAGGTTCCGACAGGTGAACCTTCCGAGACAGTAATGCAGCTTCCGCAGAACTTATTGTTGATATGGGAGAGTTTGATGTGGCTTTGATACAAAAGGTATACCAAGGGCAAATAAAAGGAATATACCAATTGGCGGAAGTAGTGAACTACGACTGGTGTATAACTGACGGCTTCCAAGTGCTGACCTGTTCGCCCAAGAAATAGCAGATTAAATTGCTACCAAAGAATATAGACGCATATGCTTATACGCTCTATATTCTTTGGTGAGAAGGGTGGGAAGTGGTTTGGTGGTAAGAATATATGCGTCTATATTCTTTGTTGCTACACTCAGAAGCGAGACTATTATTATTATCTTGTAAACCTTGTTGAAGTATGCAAATATTTATTATCGTAATCAACATCCAAAACAAAGAAATGTTAACAATTCTTATAAAATTAAAATTAGATTATTATATCTAATGGCAATTATTAAAAAATAACAGCTTCCTATTATAATTATTGAAAGCGTTAGTGCCTTGTATTCCATCATTTAATAAAAATTGTGTAATATTGTATTACTCGGCGCAAATCTGCAACTTGGTTATATATAATATAAAGAATAATGCTAAAATAATTTTTCAGCAATCTGTGTATTACTTGTGCAGAATTTATTTTATTTTTTATAAGATTGCACAATGTTTGTTAATTTTATGTATCAGAAAATGCCTTGGATTTCGGCAATGAAAAATTGCTAAACAAAGACAAAACACTATTCCACAGAGCGATCACAATTGCATAGAGAGAGAAAGCATATAACAGATTTCGATAAATATGAATACTTTACAGTTGGTATTCCTGTCATTTGTCAAATATCAAATCCTTTTACATGGTTGATAGCCGAAAGTAACACGTGCTGCTGAAGTAATTTTTGTGAATTTTAGTCATAAAATAAGTAAAAAAGGTAAATAAACCATACGATTTTACTAGTAATATTACGATTAACTTTAGTGTTATCAAAATTTTGTGGAGCTAAGTCTTATTTTCTATTGCAGATGCCTTTAGCAGTCGACTTATTGCATCCTTCTGCCGAAAAACAGAGGAGATCGCACAAATTGAAAAGGTAAATTATTTTAGTACGTAGATCGAAGATCATTTATTTTCGTAGTCATTAAAATTTTTTAATCTAATTGCCATATGCACAAATATAATAATAGAGTGAAGTAATCCTAACCTAGACTTGTTCAAACTTGTCAGTGCTATTGCTATAAATATATTATAAAATGAACTGAAAAAAAATATATTTTTTAAATCCATAATTATTGTAATTACAATTTCTCTGTTTTCTTTATGTTTCAAACGGTTGTGCAATTTATTATAATATACTTTAACCTGGTGCAATATTTAGAAAGACAGCATGCTTTCTGTAAAATAAAGGAATAATTTTTGGGTAGAAGTATTTTTCATGAATTAAAAAATGTCTTATTTTGTTTCTGTAATATATTTTTGTTACCTAACTTCAATATTATAACAAAACATTGTTTTATATGTGAATTGATATTTAGAAGATATGTAGAATGTATTTGTAGGCACAATATTTGGATAGATAACAGTAATTCTTTAGATAAATTGAAGTCATTTTCTATAGTAAAATAGGTATATTAAATGCTCTGAAACTTTTTTCTTATTAAATATTGTGTTTATTATGGAATTAAGCCACAATTGATTGTAATAATTATATGTATTATTACTAGTATTATAATTATATTTTTAACTATAAAAATTTGACATTTTAAGTAATTTCCACTCCAAAAATTTTTCTCAAAAAAGTTTATTTAGAATTTTGTTGAAAAGAATATATATCTGCCAAAGTTGTTTACAGGTTATCATTACAATCCATTGTGACTACAATATTTATGGTTTTAAAATACCTTAATAGTAATTTAAATCAATTGACATAGGTCATAGAGTGATGCTTGGAATTTGTTAATAATCAGGATATTTACTAAACATTTTCAATTAAATATTTTATCCATATATAAACAAGAAAAAACAATAAAATTAGGGTAGGGACTATCTATTTGGTGGTCACTCATTGAATCCTTTCAGGTAGCAAATATTTCAGACCTTATTTTTTCAGTTAACACTATTATTAAAGTCAACATAGCAAGATATAGCCAAATACAGAGAAATTTATTATTTCATTAAAAAATATTTAATTGAGTTTCTATCGAATATGTTCAAAAAATGTATTGATGGATCACACCAATCCAAAAAATTTGGGGTTTCAAAAAACAACCCAATTTTTAGCAATTTTGTTTTCCAAAACACAGGTATGTGCATTTTTTTATTAAAGACAGACTGTTTTTAAGTCCTGCCTTGTAGGCCTATAACTGTATGATTTTTCTGTGTTGATTTCTTGACTTTTCCAATTGTTTATTTGTATGTCTCTGACATAATACATAGTGACTTACCATCACATTCTCTTTCTTTTTTCCTTATGATGTTTTGTATAATACCTATATATTTAGTTAATACTGATTTTTCCATTTGTTCCAAACACTGAAGTCAGTTTGTTTTAATAGTTGTATCTATTCTTGTTTCTTTTTATAGGTTGTTACCTTGTTCATTTTTGTATCTCTCCCATATATAAATTTTATTATGTATCATACTGTGACTGGATCTGAAACGTGGACGCTCTCAACCACTGATGAAATATTTGAGCGCAAAATACTAAGAAAAATGTTTGGACCACTCCAATGCAGCAATGGTTCGTGGAGAATTAAAATGAACCACGAGCTGGATGAACTAATGCAGAGCACAAATATTGTTAGATTTGTAAAGTCACAAAGACTAACTGGCTTGGTCACCTTGAAAGAATGCTAGATAATAAGTATCCGATAGGGCAGAATGGAAGAACATTGTTAAGCAGGCCAAGACTCACAAAGGGTTGTAGCGCCATTAGAAGAAGAAGAAGATCATACTGTGTAGAAGAATATATAGATCCATAATATTATGCTTTAGTATTAATTGGGACTTACCAACAGGCCTTTCTACATACATTTATTTAATGATCCATGAACTCATGTGATTGAACTGTTTAATAGTTTGTCTGCTTGAACGAAGATAACTAATATAAGAAAGATTCTAAATAATTTCATCAATATGATTGAATTTTAGTTGTTTACATCACTGGTATGATTATTTATATCAAAGCCCAGTTTTTAATTATTAACACAACAAATTGGTATGAAACTTCAATTTAAAAATATTTTTTCAGGTTGGTTCAGCATCCTAACAGTTACTTTATGGATGTTAAATGTCCCGGCTGTTATGCAATTTCAACAATATTCTCGCATGCCCAGTCCGCAGTTCCATGCAAAGGTTGTTCTACAATCCTTTGCACTTCCACTGGAGGCAAAGCGAGACTTACAGAAGGTTGCAGTTTCAGGCGCAAACAACATTAAACTAATAAATATATTGTGACTGTAACTATATATTGTTTTCTAATAAATTGTATTAATAAAGTAATTTATTTGTTTACTTACATTTTGTTTCTAAGTTTATTGAAAACAGAAAAGACTTGTTAAGCTAAAGCTGAATTACTTACAGATTTACAAAGGCACAGTGTTTTAGATGTTTTTACCAATTAAGTGGTTAGATAGAGAAGAGATTAGAGCTTGCAATACCATGATTCCGTGTCCTGGATGTATTTTGTTATTACACTAGTTGATAAAAATTGAATTTATGCACAATATAAATCTAAATTAAAATAATATTACAAAAATTTTTTTAAAGATAAACAATTTTATTGTATTAAAATCAATATCAAGAACATTATTACACATACTGAGCCGGGTATGGTACTATCGAGAAGTGACAGTGTCAGCAATATAAAGTTATTGTTTATGTTTTATGTCTACCATCCAATTAATAGGTCTCATTTATACAAATATAACATGTAACACAAAAATTATTATTAAATAGTTTGGATTAGACTGTTTAATTTTGCAAATCAGCTGTAGTTACAAGTAAAAGTTATATTTTGTTTTTCATTCCGTTGTGTCTTGTATGTGGATTATGTGCACTTGTTTTCTGGTTTTATTTCTAATAATTGAAAACTATATAACAATATTTAAATACTGATCAATCCATATGAAATATATAATATAGTAAGTTTATATTTGTATTAATGTAAGTTAGGAGTGTAATTAATTTACAGATATTAAAATTAATAGGCTTAAATTGCTAGGACCCCCTGAAAGATGGGGGTCCTAAATACATTTACGGAGAAGCGAAAAGGACAGAATGATTTAGTTTGGAATAACTTTTTGATTGAAAAAACGGACAGGTTGCTAAATGTAAAAAAGTGTGTGAAAGAAATACAGGAGGATCCACAAGTGGCCTTCATACTCCTTTAAAAAATGATACATGGCCTAAAAAGAAATGTGAATCTCCCATGATGTTGAATCAAGTGTTTCTAATCAGCCTAAATTGTTAACAATTATTTTAAAAATAATAACAAAAAACTTTCAAAAGTACTTACCTGAATGACAGCTTGCGATGGTTTGTCTGAATATTTTTATAAAATCTTAGGATATAAGAGAAGGTGTAAAGGCAAGAGGATTCAAAGAAGTACCAAAATCTGCAGTCACTATTAGTAATATGGTACTTGAATATATTAAAATTATCAAACAGTCTACAGTGCATGAAATTTTTAGACTGAAATCTGAAGGTAAATGTCTCGGTATCACATTTGATGAATGGACATTATATTCGTAATCAGTGATATATAAACATTAATGTACATTCTATTGTTCAAACAATGTGGAATTTTGGATTAGTGTGTGCTTAACGGTTCCATCAGAAAAATGCTTATCCCTTGTAGAAGAAAAATTGAAAGATTTTAATTTAGGTATATCTAAAGACATAGTTGAAGTAACTTCTGACGGTGCATCGGTTATGGTAAAAGTAGGAAAAATTATAGGGTGAACATCAACAATGTATGGCACATTGCATAAATTTAGCAATTACTGATGTTTAGTATAAGTCAACTTTGAACTTGAGTGTAGATATTGATGTGGAGCGAAATTATAATGATGTTGACAATATCAACGAAGAAGATGGTAATGGAATTATAGTTAGATGCTAGTATTACTATAAGTAATATAAATATTAAACATATTGTTATATCATCTCTAGTTTCAAAAATCCGGAAAGTAGTGAAAACATTTAAAAATTCACCTTCTAAAAATGATAAACATTTAGAAAAGTATGCGAGAGAACAATTAGGTAAAGAAACAGCGTTAAAATTGAGATTGTCAAACAAGATGGAACAGTATGTTATTTATGTTAGAAAAATTTTCAAGAAATTAAATTTTGTATTCAAAAAGCGTTTATTGACATTAGTTCCGATATTCATTTTTCTTTCCCAGCAAAGATCTGCAATTGCATTAGAATTATTGAAAGCATTAAAATCTCGAATTTACTACGATGAACTGAATTATGACAAATACTTCGGTATCTGCGAAAGGGCTCACAAGATGTTGCAGAAGTACTTCAACGCATATCTAAATTTACAATCATTAAACAATTTGTAAGCTTAACTAAACGGCTCACACATGAAAATCTAGAAGATATGGAAGTTGTGCAAGAAACATCCCTTCAAATATCTTCCCAAATTAGTAATAAAACAGTATTAAAATCTGACAAGATAAACGTAAACGCATTAAAGAAAAAACTACAGGCAGCAATAGACGAAACACTAAATACCCCACCCGTGTTTGCGTTTAAAAAAATTCCAGGTCTGAAACAAAAAATAAAAGATGAAATTACTTTGTTTGAAAAAACAGGAACGTACTTACAAAATTTTTATGATTTTTTTAATGATAATAGTGCCGACGAGTGTAAAATCAGAAAGAGCTTTTACGCAAGTTAATAATATTATTTTATGGATACTTTCAATTTAAATATATTTTTTGCTTCTTTAATGATATAATGTCATACGAGCCTATTATATTTAAAATGTAACATATAATTTAATATGTACATTTTTTTACTTAGGTACCTACACGTTTTTTGTATCTATCAACTAGTGATGTAACGAATATTCACATTCGCGAAATTTGTGCGTTTGTTTTGCGAATATGAATATAAGAAAAAAAATGTTAAGATTAGGTTAATAAAATAAAAATCCATATACTTCTAAGTTTTTTTATTAAGAAAACTTATTTTATTTTACATGCTTAGAAAACAAAAAATAAATGATGCAATGCAAACAAACAATTCGACTTCAGTTAGGTAAGTTCAGATAAATTTAGTAATTCAGCAATTTTCGGAAAAGATACATATCGCTGTCCCGGTGGAACATTGACGTAACTGCAAATTTATCAAAAATGAGTATATGTCGTCATTGGGTCCAAACTTGGTTACCCCATTCGTCAGATCACTGTCAGACGTTCTGCTCAGCTTTAAGCCACAAGGGAGCAGATGCGTCATATTTGAAAAATCAGCTGATCTCGGAGAAACAATGACAGAATGTATAGTTGTGCTTCGATAGGTCGAGTGTGTGCTGGTACCATCGAGATTCTAACTCGATGGCTTGTACTTACGGTGCTACATTGACGCAATTGTATTTTATGTTATTGTTGCTCTAAGGTTTTTTTACAAATACGCGGAAACATTGACATAACTGTTTTGTGTCATTTTTATCTGGATTTCTTCTTATTATGAGGCCACATTGACATAAGTGCATTTTATGTAAATAAAATATGCACCAAAATCCCCAAACCCCAACACTTAGTAATGCTCCCTTTAAGGTAATAGCCAAGAAGGAAAAAAAAGACAAAGGAATGTGGATAATTGGTTGACAGAAAATAAGAACACATTATGGGCAGGTGTATACTTTTAGAACAAGAAAACCTGTAGTTGTTAAAAAAGGTATCTAAAGAGGTATAGGTAGAGATATCAAATAAGGTATCTAAAGAGCCGACAAAGACACAGTTTAAAGAGTATTGGGCATTAGGGTCCTTGCAAAGACAGCGAGATTTTTTGGCTTCTTGTATGAGCCACTTGAGTTGAGCTACCGACGTATTTCTACATCAAAAACCACTCCCAGAAATACAAATTGTGCATTTTTTATTACAGGTAAGGAAAAACAAGAACGGTTACGTAAAACGTTTCTCATTAATACATTTGGAATAACTGAAAGAGCTATTCGCTCTATAATTAAAGCAGTTTCAAATGAAAAAAACTACTATTATACCAGAAGATGAAAGTGGGAAGCACGAGAGTCACAAGAAAATAAATGACAAAATTTTGGATTCTGTTCGTAGACATATAAATTCAATTCCGCGAATTGAAAGTCACTATCTTTGAAGTGATTCTTCGAGGCAATGTATAGACGGTGGTTTAACTATAGCGAAACTTCACAGAAAAACTATATAAAGGAACGAAAAAAAGCAAAAGAAGAAGAGTCAGCAACCTACGATTGTTATTCTCGTATTTTCAACAGCGAATTTAATATAGGGTTTTGTATCCTGAAGAAAGATCTTTGCGACTAATGCGAATCTTTTAAAAATGCGGGAGCAGAAGAAAAAGAAAATATGCAAACAACTATTGAAAGTCACCTAGAGGAATCTAATTCGTAAAGAAAAAAATAACGATAAACTTAAAACAAAAAATTCTGATAACAATATACATCTGGATACTTATGATTTTCGAGCAGTGTTACCTGTTAGATAGGACAAAATTCTGCATTTTTTTACAAATTTCGCGTAAACTGTTATAACTTTACAGTAGTAGAAGCAAAGGCGAAAAAATGTCAAGTCTCCGAAACAGATAGCACTTATGACATTGATAAAGCTAGCTGTTAGTTTTGAAATGACGTGATGGGGAATAGATGGGCAATTGAAATCGGATCTTGCATTTATTACTATCTAAAAGAATTGTCAATAACCAACCCAGGAGTTATTGTGATTTTTTTTTCAGATAACTGTGGAGGCTAACAAAAAATAAATTTCTAATAGCCATGTGCATATTTGCTGTCAATACTTTGGACATCAATTCTATTACTCACAAGTACCTTGTTCACGGCCACACCCAAAATGAAGGTGATTCAGTCCACAGCATAATAGAAAAAGCAGTGAAGAGGGCAACCAAATCAAGGCCCATATACATTCCTGAGCAATCCATTGCATTAATCACGAATGCTAAAAAAACAGGAGCTCCTTTAACCATTAAGGAAATGGGTTTCACTGAGTTTTTTGATGTAAAAGCACTGTAGAATGAAATGGGACTAGATTTCACCAAAGACGAGGAAGGCTGTGACTTCAAAATAACTGAAGTAATCAAAGTTTGGATTTTTACCGAAATGCCAGGTGCTTAAGGCTTATACTCTTCAAAAATTCCTTTAGATGATAACAAACTAAAAGATTTGAAACAGTTACTTTCAAAAAATAATTCCTGGACTTTGTAAAGCCTTTTACGATTCAATTTTTCGTTGATACTTTTTTTGCAATTTCAATTTTA